CCCTCCCCACCCAGCCCCTCCCTCCCTCCCCACCCAGCCCCTCCCCACCCAGCTCCTCTCCACCCAGCCCCACCCCTCCCATTTTTTGATGCACGACGGACGGACACAATAATCCCGTGGGCTGGTGGTGTAACCAGGAGGTTCCTACCAGTATTACTCATAACTCGCACTGTTACACTCGCTAGCACGTAACACAACACTGACCGCCTAGCAATGACGGCGCTAACTGACCAGATAGCTGGCTAAGCAATCTAGCAGTGCTGACGTCTAGCGACGAGGACGACCCCGACTCCCACGACAGCCCCGAGCTCCCTCTCTCGCACCCCCTTTTATCCTTCCAGCGGGGACCGGCCACGCCCACCTTCTGGAACCATCGCAGCTGGTTCCTAGGAGCTTAAAGGTGGATCCCTTGCATGACCCTTGCCCCAGATCTTCCCCTTGGGTGGGCACACCCATAATTGCTACTCCTGGTCGCCAGTCAGCACTGTTACCCTACAAGATGTATCAACTATTTGGATGAATAGGACATCTGAGGCGTACTGTCTCGGCTTCGCTGTGCGTTGCATTGCACCACTATCCGAGCAGTTAACCTTGCATTCAATAATCCTTCAGAGCCAGCGTGAACATCCGACTCCAAACGTATTTAATGTATAGAACGAGGAAAAACTGATGCAAAAATACAGTATATGTTAATACTTGCAATATCGATACAATGAATGAACACAAGGAGCATCATAACATTGTCTTAGATAACATGAAACAACAATAGCTCCTGGATGCACCAGGCACCTACATTAGCACTGAATAGCTACACAAGAGAATAAGCTACTGTGTTAAATAAGGTCACATCGTGTAATCACCATACTGCAGGATAAAGGTACAGCGCTGCACATAACACTGAACTGTGGATGAGATACTTCATCCTTGCTCTTAAGATGGCATTAAAGTTACATGGGTACAAGTCTGGCTCGACTTATCCAATTACAAGTAACATTCACAATAATGCAAGTGGCAGGCTTCGTTTTTAACTAGGCCTCGTTTATCCTAACAATTTAACAGCATTATAAAGGCATTTGCAGCATTAAAACTGCAATCCTAACATTATAACAGCATTCCCAGTATTATAAGAACATAAACGAACTTACAGACAATGCTTCTTAAAGTCCCGCAATGAACAGATGCACCTGTCTTCACTGAGACGCTATTTGCGCCCCCATTTTGTACTCTGTGTAATGGCTGACACCCTGCCTCATGGCTCAGAGAATCTTAAATCGTCACTTCCTGGTCACGTGACCAAACTCAACACCATATCAGGAAGTTCCTGCGTAATCAACACCCCCATACCTGCCATGGGGCAGAACACGTCCATTCGTCCAACCTACATTGTCAGATTAGAACTAATGTGGTAGGGAATTCAGGTCTTTTTTTTAATAAACGAAAATGAACATTTCGTTTTGTGATGTTAAATTTGGCAACATACTTTATCTGTTGCATAAATTATATGGTACAGTAACCAATCCAATGTTACATTTACCGCCCGTTTGTAAATCTACTGCTTGATGACGGCTTGCACATGCCATGAATACAGGGTCATTTGAGCATACTAAAACAATGCTGGTCAGGGCGAGTTGGTGGTGGAGGGGGGCAGGCCAGGACCTGCTCAGATGTCTCTCGCAAGGGATGTTGACCGCGACCAGGATTCAAAAGCAGGTCACGGGGTTTTATGGTGCAGCGTGCTAGCCACTGCGTCACCGTTACTTCCCTATCCAATCGTACCTTTTTTTACGTCATAAGGATTTTGCATAACGTGTTGACTGCCTGGTAAGTGCAAACATTCTTAGGGTTTATTCTTGGGGCTCCTGTTACTGCTGCTGCTGCTATTCTAGTGTTGTGCCTGTATCCCTCCTTTGTAGTGTAGCGGGTAGCGCGCTGCGCTACAAACCCCACGACCCGAGTTCGATTCCCGTTCACGGCCATGGGTCTCCCATAGGTCGACGCAGCCTAAAATGAGTACCCGATACGATATTTAAACATCGCCACCGGGGAGACAAAGGCGGCCGGGCGTGGTGCTGGCCTTCATCGGTGTTGCTACTTGCTCACAGCACTTGCCCCAACAGCATGTTAAGGCTACACGGGGTATCTTTGTATTGTGGTCCAGTTTTTCAGGAAACAGTGCATGGTGTCTGTGTGTTGTTGAAACTAGACGCCCATATATGTGTAACCCCCTTTCTCGTGTATAAAGAACTCATTTCCTGAGAAGCCGCGTGTGTATTGCACCACAGATGCAACACACTAACACACACGGACCTACGGGAAATTAAAACATCGCCATACGCTGACTCATGCACCACGCCCGTCAGCGTCGTCGCTGGCGGGGGACACGAACGAATGAATGCATCAATGAGTGAGACAATGAATTGATAAATGTGGGATCGAATTAATTAGGGTTGAACGATTAATCGATTTAAAATCGAAATCGCAATTTGAAAGAACGCGATAATAACTGTATTCATTTATATTCTTAGCTCTTTCGGTAAAGTCACGTTGAAGGGAAACAATAAAATAATAAAATATATAAAACAATAAAAAAAATTCTCACGACGTTTAGACCATAACACAAACGGTCGTCATCAGGTGTGTGATGACGACCGTTTGTGTTATGGTCGAAACGTCGTGAGAATTATTTTTTATTGTTTTATATTTTTTTTATTATTTTGTTGTTTCCCTTCAACGTGACTTTACCGAAAGAGCTAAGAATATGAATTACTGCAGTCACGAGAGCTTTAAATCAAAATTTGTATTCATTTAACTTAACAATTGTTTAACGTTCTCTATGTGCTATGTACGTGATGTCCCCCTATGTGCTCCCTCACTATTTGTTTTACACCTGATGATGATCGCTTGTGTTGCGTTCGAAACGTCGTGATTTATTATTTTAATATAATTTTCTACATACGTGACTTTACCGAAAAAAAACAATGAGTATAATTCTTCTATGTTTGATTGTTCTATTTCATCTTCTTGGTTCTTTCGGTAAAGTCACGTAGAATGAGAATAAAACAATAAAACAAAATAAGACAATACAATTCTCACGACGTTTCGGCCACAACACAAGTAGCCTTCTGCAGGTGAAGGAACAGAACTGTCGGGACGAAAGCGCTTCAATGTTCTATTTCAATTAAAACATTTTAATAAATACATCTTGGAAGCAATTCATATCTTATAAGTTATCATCCTTGCATTACAATATATAGTGCAGTTCATATGTTGATGGTATCACGTGGTAATGCTCCATCACGTGTTTTAAATCTATTACGCAGTGAATATTTAACTGAAGTTTGACTTTAAAAACATTTAATCGCAAATCGCAATTAGATATTTCCCCCAAATCGTTCAGCCCTAGTTCAAAGGCGCTGGCGTGGCGATATTCCGTGACTGCCCGTTTTGGGTTTCTCCCGCACGCAGTTTCCATCCTTCGCGGGAGTCTTTGACGATATCCATCCAACATGAATCGTCTTGAGTCAACAGTCGACGTGTTGACGCTGCGCTAATTGCAGCGGCCACCAGCGGTTGCAGCGGTGACCGTTACCCCTTGTACAACGTACGAATGGGAAAACTACATCTATTATTTAGTTACTTGATGCAGGCATTGTGAGCTTGAGAACTGAAGATTAATTGGTGCAAATAGCGACACGGCCATTGCTCCATTTACGTCCATCTGTTGCCGGAGACTTCCATTCATTATAGGCTGTGAATTATACATGCACGTCCCCCGGCCAAAACGCTTCGCTGTCGATGACCGAACAGGTTCACAATGTAAACTATGCAGACAGACCCACCGCACGTCATTCACCTGCGCGCCTTGTAACGCCCGTTTTTCCATGAACGAAATGAAATCGATTTTGTGCAATCGATTTGACTAAAGCATACGAGCCTCGGTCCGCTTTATTTCTCAACTTGCCGGATCACGTCGAGGGGTCGTACCGCGGTGCTGTTCGGCACTGCGCGTAATGTCCGTGATGCAGTCACGTTTAGTCTGTGCTGATGGTCGGCGATGCGGCTATCGACTCATCTGGACGAGCCGTACTCACGATGCACCACCACCACTGTGGTGCGTGCCGCGGGCGTTGGTACCAAGGCCGTAGCCATGGAGTCAACATTGGGGAGGGGGGGATCTTCCAAGAGGTGTGGGGGTCCCCCCCCCCCAGAAAAAATCTAAATTTGAAAACGAATTTCCTGGCATTTACTGCCTGAAATATTAAAAAATTCACTAACACGTAGGATGGACTCTTTTTTTTTACAATAATGTATAATAGTGTATTGTATTTATTACATTGCTCTGGGTTTTTTTCTTTTTTACCTTTTCTTGTTTCATTGTATGTAATGGCAGAGATTAAGAATTAATAAAAGTACAACCATAACCACAATCATATAAACATACATCTATTCTGTAGCAATATACTTTGGGGTTACATTTTGAGCGTATTTGAATATTGGGGGGGGGAATGTGTCCCCCCCCCCCCAGTATATATTATAATTACGGCCTTGATTGGTACCCCAGTCGCGGAGTGAAGTACACCCCTGGAAAAAAAATAGCGTCCCAGAATTAAAATATTCAATTGCCTCGGCAATTTAGTATTACTTGATACCCCGGGGTACCCCCAATAAGGATAATTCGCGTGGTTCGGCCCGACAACGCATCACAGAATTGTTTTCTCAGCGTATTTGGTCAAAGCGGCTGGGTGAAGCACCGCGCGTTTATTTCCTCTCACGGTCACGGGGAAGACATCTCACGCCGCATAACGCAGGAGAAAGCATTCGCCCATTCATCCGCGTCGCGCGTGTTCACGTCCCGTGAGTCTCATCCCTCCCCTCCCCTCCCCGTCCCTTTCCCCTTGCCGGGACACGGCGTGAGACTCACCGGGGGTGGGACGAGGCGTGTCGGGGGTTGCAGGAAACACGCGATGGGAAATTAAAGGGCACGGTGGGGGGGCGGTGATGGTGGTGGTGGTGGGGGGGTGACGCGGGAGGAGGCGAGGCCCCTGCTCACCGGGGTTCGCCGGTTACCGGCAGAAGCGCCACGGACGCACGGACAGACGAGTCGGGACCGACGCCTCTGCCAGCCGAGACATGTCTGCCCCGGGACTAACCGGCGAGTGAGTGACGCTTTTGTTGCCCTGCGCGGGGTTCCGTGTGATCGACAGCGGTGTGTGACCGGCTGTTTGTTGATGGTGACTGGATTGTTGTCAGCTGTTGTTGTGGAGACGGGACATTGTTACGATGGTGTGTTCGATGTGCCGGTTGAATGGATGTTGTCGGCTGTCGTAATGTGTCTGTCTGCTGTTGTGATCGTGACAATCGCTTAGCATGCACTGTACCGGCTGCTGTGCCGGACGGAGGCTGTGAGAGATCCGCGTGGTTTTGTGGCTGTTCGCTCCTACAGTGCGTCATGGTGATTGGTGGTGGTGGTAATGATTGGTGATAGTGGTTGTGGTGGTAATGATTGGTGATAGTGGTTGTGGTGGTGGTAATGATTGGTGATAGTGGTGGTGGTAATGATTGGTGATAGTGGTGGTGGTGGTAATGATTGGTGATAGTGGTGGTGGTGGTAATTATTCGTGACGGTGGTGATGTTTTTGATGGTGGTGATTATGTTTGGTGGTGGTGGTATGGTGATGTTGGTGGTAATGATTGGTGATAGTGGTAGTGATGTTGGCAATGATTGGTTGTGGTAATAATTGGTGGTGGTAGTGATGGTGGTTGGGGGTGATGGTGGTGAGAACGATTGGTGATGGTGGTAATGATTGGTGATGGCAATGGATGGTGGTGGTAATGATTGATGGTAGTGATATAATGATTGGTGCAGGTGGTAGTGATGGTGGTAGTGACGGTGGTGGTAATGCTTGGTCATGGTGGTAATGAGTGGTGGTGGTGTTAGTAGTGATGCTGGACGTAATCGCGCTGGTGGTGGCAATTATTGGTGGTAGTGATGGTAATGATTGGGCTACGTTTTTTTTTCATCATGGCGCACTCACACAACGCGTTTTCGCGTCACCAGCATTGAGCAGCCACACGCGGTTGGTTTAACAATAGGTCGCAGTGCGCATTCCCCTAAAACCACGGTGACCCCCCACACACACACACCCGCGATACGTCCTTGCGATATGTACATCTCGTTATCGGTCCATCGGCTGGATGAGGGCATCGATCTCGCCACGGCGTGCGGGTCGTGAAAGGTTGCGCATCGCAACGCAAAGTCACACCGATTGGTTGGGCAGGGTGGCGCGCGTGGCTTTTAATCATGGCTCGGGTACGTCCCACGTTGTGTGCCAACTGCAGGTACGGTCACGTCGCCTGATTTGAAGCTTTCGTGATGACTGCAGGAATCCATACTCTTTGGTTCTTTCGGTAAAGGCACGCGGGTAGATAAAATAATAGATCTCGACGTTTCGATCGCAACGCAAGCGACCGTCTTCAGGTGACATTCTTTATTTCGACCTAGGCGACTTTACCGAAAGAACCAAAGAGTATGTGTCATTTTTTTGCCGCGTGCTGTGGAGTACAGTGAGACGATGGTACGGTTTTTGTGCCAAATATGTCAGGAATGGAAACACGCGGCGCTCTGCGAATGCGGGCAGAACAGCTTCACGTGGCTTCAAAGGGCAGCCAGCCAGCCCTATGCCAAGTACGTCTTATGGCCTTGCACCATGAACCCGGTCACCTTAGTTCGATAAGAGACCACTGTGACCCTCTGGCCCGCCTCGTCTACGCCATTTACCTCTTGACTAACCCGGCACAGACCCGGCGTGGTTTACCACACGACCCTGTGGCTGAGTCGGCGCGCAGGGAGGAGAGGAGGACTTAACTCAACCAGCGGATTTAAAAGGGGTTATTAATCATAAGTTACCAGTCACCTTGTGGGGAAACAGAACTGCTGAGCAGTGGAATTCTGAGCCGGGTCGTACTGTGTGTGTGTGTGAACTTCGCTCGCTGGTGGGCGCTGCACGGAGGGAGTTCTCGTCACACTGAACGCCACGGTTAATTTGCGACTTCAGATGCCCTCGCAAGTGCAGGTAGTGACTATTATGCAGGTGGCCTGCAATCCAGCACTGTTGGAGGCAGCGAGGGGTTGGCGGATAGCACAGATGTCGTGAAACTCCCTTCCCCGTTGGTGTCGAGGAAGGTGCTATAACCTGGCTGGCCAGGAGAGGGCAGTGCTTAAAGTGGACTAATCGCCATCTGTTTCCGTCTGTACGGGGGATAGAGTGTTGTTCCCCTCGCACGCGTGGATTTTCTCTCCGGGTGCTCCGGCTTAGTCCCACGCGTATAGTAACAAAACACTCATCATTAATTGATTGTAAAAAACTTAAAATAAAAAAAAACCCAATGCACGACCCTCATTTAAAACGAGTCCTACAACTCAGTGAGACTTTCCTGGATAAGTAGATAATTTAAAAGTGATTCCGGAGTGTAAGAATACTTTACAGAACCCCCTTTGTCCCTGCGCTGCAACTTGAAGATATCGACACGTTGTTAACCGTGGGGGCTGTTTGGCCATACTTTACGAAGCTGGTCAGTACGGGCTGGTAACAGGGCACTGTTTAGACGGCACCCGCCACTGATGTTGGTCGTGGCCGTGAATCTAACTCAGGCTCCCAGGTACAGTTATTCGTAATTAACTAATAACTGTATTCTTTTATTTTATACTAGCTGTACTACCCGGCTTCGCCCGGGACTTGGATCCACCACGTGCGGCCGCATTTTCTCCCCAGTGGCGATGTTCACACACCACAGCAGTTACTCGTTTGAGGCTGAGTCGACCTAGGGGAGGCCCAGGAGCGGTTGAAATAACCGTCACCGGTGGTGGCCGTGAGCAGGAATCGAACTCGGGACGCCGGGGTCGTAGCGCAGCGCAGCGCTAACCACTACACTACAATGCGTTACGCTTCCACATGCGCGGGTCACATGACAGATTTGACGTCACAGCTCACTTGCCATGCAAAAGATATATGCGTTATTGAGCTCCCCCCACCCCCAAAAAAATACAAAAGTGTATTTTCATAATTTTGCATGGTGTACAGTCTGGAAAGTACCCACATGGCAAATTTCAAGTTTGTTGTATGTCGGGAAGTACGCTAAACATTTTGAACAGACACACATCATCACAACTTTGCCTTTTATATATATATGGAGATTGGTATTTGCCACGCAAGGCGGGTTGAGTATAACAGCCTACAACATACAACACAAGGGCGGAAAGCTGACATCGTGAACCATTGCTAACAACTCCATCGGACACCGCTCCCAACAAGGCTCGTTCATCCCATAATCTCTCCCAAAAAATGTTGTTCGCTCCATAACCACTCCTCCCATTCAAACAACATTGTCAGGGACGCCAACACCCTGCTCAGACCCCCTCTGCCCGGACCGGCCCTCTGCTCCTACATCCTCCCCCACCCCTGCGCCTCCCACACGCAGCCCTCTCATTAATGAGACGGGGAGGGAGGGGATGAAGAGGGCGGCGGTGGTGGCTGGGGATGGGTTCGGGTGCTTGTGAGACGAAGGGACCGCGGCTGAATGCAAGAAGCCACATCATGCCTCCCTGGAGATTGCGTAACGCAGTGTTCGTATGGATGTTGAACTTCTTTCGCACTGTACGTAGCCAACCGGGCCAATAGAAGGTACGGGAGAAGGACAACAAACGAAGCACAAAAAGCAGTTCTACATAAATGAGTTTTCGATGGAGATGTTTTAAAGCACTGTACATAGCTCCAGTCTCTTCCTAATATTGGCATGAAGAGTGTTCCAGACGGCCGCATAGGTGCATTTGAAAGCGCGCGATGCAGTGGCCGTCTTTGATCTGTGGTTAGCCAAAAGCTGCTGCGAGGATGACCGGAGTCTGCGTGATGGTTTATGATCCTTGACAAGCTCAGCAAGGTATTGTGGTTCATTTGTGGCAAGCACTCTGTGTCGAGTGAAGAGCATGATGGGCGGTTCTTGAGCAGTTCACGCAAAAACGACTAATTGGTACCACCCAGAGCGGCAAATACTAACAATTATTTTCTAAAATTAGATAATCTCTAAATTGACAAATACATATGATAGCAACGTCACCACAGTAGATTAGGAGAAATACTGCTTTTAAGGATGGGTATCTTGGTATGTTCGATATCGAGTGTATCGTTTTGGAAGCGTGACGGAATGCGATATCACACATCCACGGAATGTGAAACTAAAAATTAAGTGTGGCTGTAACTCAAATACTTTGGTCTATACTATAGGGTTTTCTTCTGCCCACGGTGGACCCGTAGAATTTGCCTCCCCAAGTGGTACCGACCAACCCAGCTTGACTCATGTCACCGCGTTAGCCGTCGACCTTTTACCCCGTGTGTGTCGGGAGCTGTTTGTCGCGATAGTTTTATGGCTTCCCGTCTTCTCCCTGATGTAATATGCTGTACGTGCGTATTCTTTATGGTTCACATGTTCCGCATAATTACACATGGAAACGTATGCATCGTGCAATTATTACTGTTCCTCCCCCCTCTCTCTCGCCTTATATAGCCTCTTCCCACTACAGCAAACTTTCTTGCTGTGGCTGTTCCACCTGATGACGGACGCTTGTGTTGCTTCCGAAACGTCGTGATTTAATTTATTTTATTTTATACCCTCGTGACTTTACCGAAATAACCAAAGAGTATGTTTTTTTTTTTGGTTACGTACTGGCTGTTTAATGACGCAATTGGTCAATTTACATCAGTGCTTCTATGATTCAGATATTACTGTTGCTGTGCATGCATGTGGAATTGTAACGCTGTCGCCTGTTAAATAAATAGCCCTTGTTGCCATAAAGAGAGCCACTTAGCGAGTGCCAGGTGGGAAATTGTTGAATTGCACACCTGTACAAGTGGAACACCTGCGTGGCTTGCCTCACCAGCGTGAGGAGAGATTGTCGCTCGTCCTGTCACCTCACTTTATAATCACCGTCACCCTGTTTCTGGTCTGCCCTCTCACCCCCCTCCCTCCCTCTCGTACTCAGTGGCCTCGTCAAGGTGATAAACCCTCACCTGGCCTCATTGCAGGATGACGTCCTCTACCACTTAGGCCTGGCCACCAAATCCCACGACCTCCCGGCCATGTTTGGGGACGTCAAGGTGGAGTGACTGACTGACGCGCACACACCACACAGCGTAATCATGTTGTTCCCCTGGGATATGAGTCTATGACCCTCACAGTATCGTAGGAAGAGCGGCAGAACCCGAGTTCGATTCCCACTCATGGCCACCAAACACCGGTGACGATTATCTGAACTGGTTCTGGGCCTCCGTTAGGTCGACTCAGCCTCAAATGATTACCTTGTGCTGTGTGTAAGCATCGCCAGTGGGGGGACAAAGGCGGTCGGGCCTGGTGCTGGCCACCCACCCTTTAAAAGTGCTCGTTAAATGCGCTTGCCCCAAAAGCATGTTAAGGCTATACGGGGGGAATCTTTGTTTTTGTCTTTGTGCCTGTGCCTGCCGTGTGTGTGAATCGTGTGCGCGCTTGTGTCAGTTTGTGTGCGTGGGTGGCAGCGCGTGGCGGATGCTGGCCTTCGCGCGGTACATCGCCAAGGAGTTGGAGCTGCCGGACCAGGGAGACGGGCCCACCAACTTGTGCGAGGCCACGGACCGATACTGCATGTACAAAGTGGGGCCCGTGCTGTCCGTGAGCGTGAGTGGCACCTCCCTCGCTCCGGCACCAGCGCCGCTCCGCACGAACGCAGTCCTCAAATGCGTCACCCCCATACTCAATTTCGGACGGCCGAAGACAGCCCAGAGTTTCACGAGTCGCGTTGTAAGGAGCTCGCCAAAGGCCATGCTCAGTAGACAGACTCACATGGGATGTCTAGATGCAACGGCATAGCGTGGGCAGCGTGACGCTTTTGCATTCTCGAGTGTATTGTGGGCCAAGGGACTCAGAGGCAAGACACTTCTCGATAGGGGGCTCGATCTGTGAGTCTCTTACACTGCGTCCCATTGTTTATCTGGTACCTGCTGACCCAATACGACACTCTAAGGTCTGCGTTGAAAAGCCTGTCATTACTTGTGTTGCTACGTTAGGGGACGTGCTCACAACACGTTACCCGTACAAATGTCTCGCTCACCTTGGATGTATCCCCAATGCACACTCCTCCACGGAGGCTCACTGCCAAGTTGTAGATAATGTTGTGGTGCTGTTTGCCTTCACCCCCCCCTCCCCCCCACTTACCGCCACCACCCCCACCACTTTCGCCACAGCACGGCATGGGCGTTCCGTCTATCGGCATCATGCTGCACGAGCTCATCAAGCTGCTGTTCCACGCCAAGAGCCGCAACGTGCGAATCTTCCGCATCGGCACGTCCGGCGGCATCGGTGCGACGCGCACCCCTCACTCCGTCTCAACGCCAATGTGGCCTGGCACCCAGCAGAACTGGCTCGCCTTCCGCTCTAGAAATTAAACCAATTGTTCGGCGGTCACACTAAATTCAGCTGTGGTGGACGAGCACAAATGATAAGAACTCAACACATTCGTTGGTGTGTATGTGGGGCCTTAAAGGGAAACATAACAGGCGACGTTTGGGGCAATGACCCTTCTGCATAGCACACATATAGAAAGGCCAGAGGGATAGAGTGCATAAGAGACTGCAACGTGGGGCCTGATAAGAATACGATGTTGCGTTCAAGACTTACAATTGGCCACTTCTATGACAGTCGGCAGAGTGAAGTATGGTCAAAGAACCCCCACGACCCTCGTGGTGCGGAGAGACCCTCATGCAGCAGCGGATTGACAAGAGGACTGTGTATGTATCAGCATGGACTCACAGTCGTGAAAATTATCATGGTTCGCAACGTACAGTGCGAAATAAGTTCTACATGCATACTTGAGCTCATTGCAGTCAAGCGTGATTCACAGTGCATGTGAAGACGAAAACGTCAAGGGATGATGAGCCACGTGAATACTCCAATCCATGTCCTCTGATTTGCTAATCTGGACCTTTCTATGCATCATTCAAACCTCAGGCTTGTTGAACACGTGGCGAATTTCAACAGGAGACACGTCCAGTGCTTAATATTCGACCACGGAGGGCGGATAGGGAGTGTATCACAACGTTCCGTCTTCCAGCATCTCAACATTTCCCACGACTGTCCTGCTTCATTTGATTAATTTTCTCATTTGAAAAAACGTTATTTGATCATTTAAAATTACATTAAATTAATACATTCCTATTGTATAAGGCATTCGTGTACGACAGTACTCCAACATACACAGCTGGCACGCCGCACCGCTCGTGATTAAAGCCGTGCGCTGCACACAAAACACTCTTATTTGTGGATAGCGTCCAACACCAGAGGATATCCAGACGCTGGATGACTCTCGACCGCCACACTTCCGTCGAGTTGACGGCTGTCACCGGTTGATGTCGCACGCTGACCGTGACGCACGGGGGGTTGGGGAGGGGTCGGGAGGGGTCGGAAGGTCATGTAAGTTTCCCATGTCGATCCTCGATCTCCTGACCACGCAGGGCTGGAGCCGGGCTCCGTGGTGGTGTCGCGCACCGCCGTGGACGAGCAGTTCCGCCCCGAGTTCCGCCAGGTAGTGCTGGGCGAGGTGGTGACGCGCGACTCCGAGCTGGACACCGAGCTGGCGCACGAGCTGCTGCAGTGCGCCGAGGACTTCGCCGACGAGTTCCCCACCATCGTGGGCGACACCATGTGCACCAACGACTTCTATGAGGGTGAGCAGCAACGCCGCGCGGGCGTGAGCGACACGCCCGCGCGGCAGTGGGCGTGCTGGCGACGGGGACTCCAGTGGCTCAGCGGCGTTGGCATGGGCTCTGGTGCGAGGAATTAAATGGCACCCCTGTTTAATTTCTACCCCCCCCCCCCCCCCACCACCAAACCCGCTCTCTTCGTAGCCCGGTGCCTGGGCCACTCCGGCCCATGTGGCCCTGGTGCAGTTGCACTGCCTGCACACCCGATAGCTGCAACACTGTTTTCCCTACACATTTAGCAATGTAGTAGAGAGAGGGGTCGGTGAGACATTTGGGTGGCCCTTATTTGACAGTAGCTGGCACATCGCTCAGAAGAGGACCATTGCTCCCTGTCTCGAGATCACAAGGTGAATGAAGTCTTTGTCTGGACCAACTGATCTCCTACCATCATCATTCCAGGGTTAATTGAGTTAAGTACCTCCTAGTAAGCAGCGCTCAGTGGGACGTCAGTTTTGGTTGCCCCGGTCTCTGCTGTGGAAGCTGTGGAATTTCCAATACTGGCACAGGACCGCCAATGAGCGCATGTGCGGCCCAACACTCATCTGAGTTTTTGAGTCATCTCTTTGTTTTTGTTATTTGGTTCATGTTGGTCCCTTGCAAATCCCAGGTTTATCCTATTGACGATTCGCCGCTGGTGACCTCCCCATGCTTGTGACCTCTCTGTGACCTCGTGCTTTGACCCCTTTGCGCACGTAGGTCAGGGTCGACTGGATGGGGCGCTGTGCTGCTACACGTCGGCGCAGAAGCTCGAGTACCTGAAGCGCGCCTATTCGGCCGGCGTGCGAAACATCGAGATGGAGTCGTCCATCTTCGCCGCCATGTGCAAGCTCTGCGGCATCCGCGGTAAAGCCGTCGCGTGTCCCAGTGGTGCCAGCGATGCTGTCGGCTAGATCCAGAGACGTTTTGGGGGTTTTGTTAAAGCGACTAGTTTTGACAAATCTTGGAGACTTTCTGGGATGAGGAAATTATGCAGATTTAAGAGCGATTCCCGGCGTGTGTTCAGGATCGTGTATCAGTTTACGACGTTTGTTTAATTTGTCATTTGTCCAGAGATGTTCTTGAGGATGCTGGAAAGTCTATCGAGTGACATCTACCGATACTTCAATGACCCTGCCTATAGCAGGGTCTTCAATTACAAAACGGCACACACATCTGGGTTGAGAACCCCAGAATGGGTACATCCGACTGTAACCGTACACCCGACCATTTATAGATTCAGCGTTTCAGTGTTCTCCCCACATGCATCGGGTTTCTCCAGAAATTAAGATTTCCTTTCACGTTATTTTAAAAAGGTTAAATGTCCAAAGCAGGAGCATCCTTCTGTAACTGTGTTGAGACTTTTTTTAGAAAATAATTAATATTAATTGATTTTAACAATAGCAATATGTACAAACTAAAAACAAGGGCATTTAGAAAACCGTTGTCATCAATGTTCTGAAAAACATTGGGTAGACAAAGCCTTGATGCGTCAGGGTCTCGGTATTAGTTCAAGCAGAATTCGTCATCGTCCTTTGCCTCGGAAGTGATGATCATAATGACAATGAATAGATTAGATGCGATGTAAGGTGGAGGTAATATCAGGTGATTGCACGACCCTTACACACAATTACGGTGATGCTCAGACACGTCACCGAAAACCTTTGTAAAAACAACAACATTGAACTCTTCGTGACCTGGCATCGTAGCTACGCATGTGTGTGCCAAGCGTGGCGCCAAGCGTGGTGCCAAGCGTTCGTGGTGTCACGGTGGTGTGCCACTGACCACGAGCAAGCCGAATATCCGGAGTTGCTACTCAATTACAAACCCCAAAAAATGTTTCGCCACCATCAAGATTCGCGTGGCCTTATCGCTGAAACATATGCAGGAAGTTAACGTTTTGGCCAACGAACCCTTATTCAGAGGAGGAGAAAAAATTCAACATTTTTATTGTAATTGGAGCACAAACCTTACTTTGTCGTGCCGAGAACGCTGCCAATTTTTAAAAGGGCTGGTTTTACGAACAGTACTCTGTTGGTGGACACTGAGTGACAATCCTTCAAGCAATCCTCAAGTGATCCTTATCCACTGTTGCCCCCAATGTGTGCAACCCGTCGACCACCATCAAACCTCAGTTTTATTTTGACGACCGCCATGTACCAACAAAATCATAGTTTAGTTTTCATAGTTTCATTTATTTGGTATAGCCCTGTGAGCCATTCGGCTCTTGAATTGGGTGCAACCGCAACAAACAAAAACATGAACAAGAAAACATCTTAAAGTGACTATGTGACTGTGCAAACAGAAAATCCAGGAAAAAAACAGCAAAATATTCCTGAAAAAGCACCGTACACCAACGCTGTGTGCAAAAATCCCAGTGGGATGCAAGTCAAACAACAACAACAAGACAACTAAGATTAAGGCCATCAGTCTAACTCCGTACTGCAATAAACAAAAACATGGCCAAACCAAAAAAAAACGTTTTCTAAATCACCAAAATAAAAGCCATAAATGCAATGGGGACTGTGACCGAATTTTTAACAATAAACTATATAAATAACATGTAACACCAAACCCTAGAGCCATATTTTAGGCCACTGAATAGCAGTGGCAGCTAGGGGTGTACAACTCCTCTAGAGAAAAAATCTTTTCAGAATTGAAACGACTCTAAATCGTAGCGTCGGACCACTTCCCACGATCTTGCAGACCACTAGTGGTCCACGGATTGCAAGTTGGAAACCACTGGCCTTAGATCGCTGAAATTGATTTTGATGGTGACCTGCTACGACAACAGGACTACAATTCAGTTCTTCGGGAACTGCTGATGTTTTTGTACAACAACGCACGCAAGCGGAATACTTTTTATACACATTTGTGTGCTCGAATTGTAAGTGTTGTGGCTTTACTCTCCAACACACTTGGTGAGCTGAATCAGTTTACGTGACAAACCTTACTAATTCGCCGTGTCAGGTGGCGGCGGGTTTAACGACACATTTGTATTTACGCGATCTAACCCCCAAAAAAACCTCTGTTATGGATAATATTGGTCCCGAAAACCTACTACGTATTAATCTGACATTTATGTGCGTTGTTTGAAACGTATCGGTTTTCCGGCTTGCGCAGTCTTCTTCTGCTTCTGTCACGATAAGCTTTGCTCGTCAATGACCGACAGATTCGCGATTTGATGGCTCAAGATGAAACCGCACGAGTTGCAGTACCACCGCTCACCCGGCAGGTGACGCTAACTACCCCCTTGAACTCGGTAGAGGTCCCCGCCGGGAAGCAGTGGTGGGGGGGGAAGGGAGGCCCTTCGAGTGAGCAGCCGCTAGAGGGAGGCAGCCACCCGGCACTGGAGCGGGAATTATTCGACTTTGAGAAGCCACACCACGTGCCACATCCCCCCCCCCCACACACTCACACACTGCCGCTCCGGGAATAGCCACGATTTTGGAGTCGAGATTCCGTTCAAGAATCGACGTGCTTTCTCCTCTCTGCACCTTGTCGTTTGTATGAATGGCTCGTCTGTAACTGCCTCATTTGTGCCGTCCCGTTTGTGTTCTTGTCGCGTTGCAGGTACGGTCACGTGTTGTAGACCGACGGCCAGGTTCGATTGTACAGTGTCAGTCTCATCGGTGCCACCTCCTAAACACTGCCCCTTGCTGCTGCTGTTCTTCGCGTCCGCACTTTTCTGTCTCGTTGGTATTGCTGTGTATTGATTCTGTTGTCTCATACGTGCGTGGTTGTGCGTCGTGTGCTTTGCAGGGCGTGGCGTGCTATGTGTTTCGCAGCGTGCGGTGCGTGCTGTGCGTGGTTCATGCTGTGCGGTGCGTGGTGTGCGGTGGTGCACGGTGTGCGGTGTGCTGATCCTCCGCGCGCTGTGCGGTGTCCGCAGCTGCCGTGGTGTGCGTCACGCTGCTGAACCGCCTGGAAGGGGACCAGATCAGCAGTCCCCACGCCGTGCTCTCCGACTACCAGGAGCGGCCGCAGCGACTCGTGTCTCGCTACATCCGCAAGCAGCTGTCCAGTGCGAGCGGCCGAGCGCATGGCCTCCCGGGGCCCCGGCTCCAAATGCAGCAACGAGGCCACGGCTCTGAGTCTCCACTCTGACCGGTCACTGTCTCCGCAGCAGCGTCACCCTTTACCCTAGGACTCTGCTGCAAGTTCAACCCTTTACACCTGGAATGTTGATGCTAGTTCCACCTTCTACCCTAGAACTCGACCTCCCTGCCAACTCTCCACCCAGCGCGCCCCACCCTGCAGCACTCTACCCAAACCCAGCTCTCCATATCACCATCCGATACCTCCTATGTCCCGACTCTCCACCCCTGTGTATCCCGCCCCACTCCACCTCTGCACTCACTCACCCACTTCTCTTCAACTCTCTACCTCTTCACTCACTCCCCCTACACCCCGAGTCTCCACCCCTGCTCCCACTCCACCCCGACTCTCATCAATGCACCCACTCCACCCTGACTCTCCACCCCCTGCTTCCACTCTCACACTCCACCCCGACTCTCGTCCCTGTACCCACTCCACCCTGACTCACCACCCCCTGCTCCCACTCTCACACTCCACCTCTCATGACTCATGTGGCCCAGCTTGTATCCGTATCACTCGTGAGTTCCTGTGCACGAATAACTTCAAGGCGGGGGGGGGGGGGCTCCCTTTGTAGTGGGTGCAGGTTACGCAGCAGTTACCCCGTGGTTACCATGTGGTTACCCCGTGCTGTACGCTCGTAGTGTATCGAAGACTGTTCGACGTGTCTTGTCTGTTCAAGTGTCACTGTTGAAGCGTACAAACAAGAGTTTGCTCGTTCGTTTAGTATTTATACTCAAATTAGTTACGTGCATTTCATTTGACATTGTACGTACTCGGGCGCCGTATGCTGAACATAATACGTGACAAAGAGTGTTACTGTGTGTACACGTCTGAGTATGTGTACACGTGTTAGGGTTTCACTGTGTGTACACGTGTATAGATCACGATCGCGATGGATACTGGTGTTGTAGCTAGCGTCTAGGACATATCATAGAGATGACTGCACGAGTTGTATTTTCATTTGTGAAAAACACAACACATTCGTCAAGAACACCTTGGCCGTAAAAATGACTACTATAAGCAAAGAATGTGTCCCGCGCGTGACGTCATTCCACGAGGCCCACCCCCCCCCCCGCGTGACGTCACTGCAAAAGAGCCCCCCCCCCCGTCATTAATCAGGATTTTTACACTCCCACAGGTCGAGTGGAAAGAAATCTTACGCAAATTCGCTTTAAATTTGACGTGTCTTTATTGAAAACGTTAATCAAATAAATATTTATACGCAGCAACAAAGTGTTTGTGGTGTATTCTTTGGGTCTTTCGGTAAAGTCACGTAGATAAGTTCAAAGAAAATAACAAAAAACCATGGCGTTTGTCATCAGGAAGCTTCTAAAGGTAAACTGTTTATAAAGGTTTGAAATGGGCGTAGCCCAAATGTCAGCAGCTACTGTTAATGTAAGTGGTGGGCAGTGACCGTGACGGTAGTTGGTTTTCCCACCAATCAAAGGGTTGCCCAGTAAAAATTTGCATATTAATGTAAGAACGTTGAGAGGCCTCTACAGCGGGCGCCCTGAGGTGGCTATGTTAATGTGAGTGATGAGCATGTTAATGTGAGAGATTAGCATGTCAATGTGAGAGATTAGCATGTTAATGTGAGAGATTAGCGTGTTAATGTGAGAGATCAGCGTGTTAATGTGAGAGATTAGCATGTTAATGTGAGAGATTAGCATGTTCATGTGAGAGATTAGCATGTTCATGTGAGATATTAGCATGTTAATGTGAGAGATTAGCATGTTAATGTGAGAGATTAGCATGATAATGTGAGAGATTAGCATGTTCATGTGAGAGATTAGCATGTTAATGTGAGAGATTAGCATGTTAATGTGAGAGATTAGCATGTTAATGTGAGATATTAGCATGTTCATGTGAGATATTAGCATGTTAATGTGAGAGATTAGCATGTTAATGTGAGAGATTAGCATGTTAATGTGAGAGATTAGCATGTTCATGTGAGAGATTAGCATGTTCATGTGAGAGATTAGCATGTTAATGTGAGAGATTAGCATGTTAATGTGAGAGATTAGCATGTTAATGTGAGAGATTAGCATGTTAATGTGAGAGATTAGCATGTTAATGTGAGAGATTAGCATGTTAATGGGGGACTGCAGAGCAGCAACCTCGAGCTCGGCAAGCGAGGTGGCTGTGTTAGTGTGAGAAATTTAACCTGTGAATGTAAAATCAGAGAGCCGGAAATAACAACTAACATCGGAAGGTGGTAGGATGGGAACATCACAGCTAGTTATGACTTAAACTGGTTGATAACATCCTTCCAATGATTGATCAGTTTATACCCATCTTCTCGATTGAAATTGTGTCTGTGTCTATATATATTGTGTAGATGTTTTAATCGAAAGGAAACCAGATGGCTCAATGGGACACTGTCTACAGGAAAGCCATCCATACGGATGCATATCTAAAACTTCACTCCCACCATCATCCTTCCCAGAATAATTTCCTGATCAAAACTCTATACCATAGAGCTTGATGTATTTCCGACCATCATCGCCTAGCCAGGGAACTGGAACACGTACACCAAGCTCACAAGATGAATGGATATTCAGACTACACAATTCGTAAAGCTATCACCCCAACTGTTGGGAAAGAACCATCTGAGGACCCAATCAAAACCATCACCTTGCCATACATAGTAGGGGTCACAAAAAGGATTTCCAAAATCATGAGCAAACGCAAGATCCAGGTTCGATTTAACACTACTTAAAATTCGTGATCTGATCCCATCTGTGAAGGATGTGATCCCTGACATGCAATGGTGGGCTCACACGAAATTGATTTCTCTAAGACGAAGGTACTTTGCAAACCCACTGGCTGTCAAAGATTTGTTCATGAAGCCATCCATATGCAGGGTGTTTTAAAAGGATGGACCCAATTTCAAAGCAGTATATTCCACGATGGCAACATGTTACAATTACACAAAAAGTTACAAACGGTATAATGAGTTATCAAGTTTTACTAACAATTTTATAAATGCTCTACGTGCCCTCCACCTGCTGTATGGGGCAACATTGAGACGATAGTTGAATTCGTCCCAAACGCCTCTCTTCTCACGTTTTCCTCTGAGGTGCGTGGTCGCCCTGTGCTCTTCCCCTTACATAAACAGCAGCCTGTTTCTTCAAACTATCGGTACCAACGACGAATGCTCTTTGACATTGGCGGATCAGTGCCAAAACGCCGTTGAAATGCACGTTGCACAGCAATTACGGATTCAGTCTTGCTGAACTGCGGAACGCAAAACGCCCCTTGTGTTGCGGTGGGGTCACCGTCTTGCCAATGACTGAGGCTAGGGGCTGTTTGTGCGCTGGGAGAGGCATCTAGCAGTTACCATTTTAAACTCTATGCCCCGCCCTTTCAAGTGGTAAGAGTTTCATTCATGGGCAGTTCGTGGTTGCAGAGATATAGCCATTTCAAATCGGGTCCATATATTTCAAACACCCTGTATATAGACACAGACACAATTTCAATCGAGAAGATGGGTATAAAGTGAGCAATCATTGGAAGGACGTTATCAACCAGTTTAAGTCATAACTAGCTGTGATGTTTCTATCCTATCCCCCTTCCGATGTTAGTTGTTATTTCCGGCTCTCTGATTTCACATTAACAGGTTAGATTTCTCACACTAACACAGCCACCTCACTTGCCAAGCTCGAGGTTGCTGCTCTGCAGTCCCCCATTAACATGCTAATCTCTCACATTAACATGCTAATCTCTCACATTAACATGCTAATCTCTCACATTAACACACTAATCTCTCACATTAACATGCTAATCTCTCACATTAACATGTTAATCTCTCACATTAACACGCTAATATCTCACATTAACATGCTAATCTCTCACATTAACATGGTAATCTCTCACATTAACATGCTAATCTCTCACATTAACATGCTAATCTCTCACATTAACATGCTAATCTCTCACATTAACATGCTAATCTCTCACATTAACACGCTAATCTCTCCCACATTAACATGCTAATCTCTCACATTAACACGCTAATCTTTCTCACATTAACATGCTAATCTCTCACATTAACATGCTAATCTCTCACATTAACATGCTAATCTCTCTCACATTAACACGCTAATCTCTCACATTAACACGCTAATCTCTCACATTAACATGCTAATCTCTCACATTAACATGCTAATCTCTCACATTAACATGCTAATCTCTCTCACATTAACATGCTAATCTCTCACATTAACATGCTAATCTCTCACATTAATATGCTAATCTCTCTCACATTAACATGCTAATCTCTCACATTAACATAGCCACCTCAGGGCGCACGCCGTAGAGGCCTCTCAACGTTCTCACATTATCATGCAGATTTTTGCTGGGCAGCCTTCTGATTGGTGGGAAAACCCAGCACCGTCACGGTCGCTGCCCACCACTTACATTACCATTGGCTGCTGACATTTGGGCTACGCCCATTTCACACCTTTATACACAGTTTACCTTTAGAAGCTAACCCCCTCTTCCTGATGACGAACGATGGTGTTGCGATTGAAACGTCGTAGTTTTTTTGTGTTATTTTTTGTTATTTTCTTTGAACCTATCTACGTGACTTGACCGAAAGACCCAAAGAATATTAATTCCTGCAGTCACGAAAGCTTTAAGTCAATATTTAATTGAATTTGAGTTAAATACAGTGCTAGTTTTGTGCAACAATCACGTTAAGACAGTACAACAGTGAAATGCAGTTGTGTTTGATTACATCGTTTTGTGCAATATTTACTGCCATTAAATTTACACAAGAAACAATAATACTCTGGTACATTCTTTCGTAACTTTAATGCTCATGTTTGGTCTCTTTTCATTGAAGACTTACTTGTGACCGTATCATCAGTCTACTTTCTTCACTCTTCGCAAATCCGTTCTAGGACGGGCAAAATGCTCGTTACTAATATAATAAACCAAGAACGTGTGTCCCGAGCGTGACGTCACTCCACATGAGGCCCAACCCCCCCCGCGTGACGTCACTCCACATGAGGCCCAACCCCCCGCGTGACGTCACTCCATACGAGGCCACACCCCCTCATTAATATTCATGAGTGGGTGGATTTTTTACACTAACGCAGAGGACGGTCGAGCTGGATTAAATAATTTATTACGCAAAGTCGCTTAAAATATGACGTTTCTTTACGGAAAGTGACGGTAAAAAAAGAAATATACGTAGCACAGTGCTACATCCGCACGTGACGTCACTGCAAAAGAGGCCCCTCCCCCCCGCCATTAATATTCATGAGCGGGTGGATTTTTACACTCCCGCAGAAGGAGGTCGAGCGGAAATAAATATTTTTACGCAAATTCGTTTTCAATTTGACGTTTCTTTATTGCAAAAAGGTGAATTAAATTAACAACACTAGCTTTTTTGCCCATCCAAGGACGGGTGTATATTGCAGTAAATCTGAAATATTCTATAGTAAAATTGTTCATCTCATGATTATTAATGAGGGGAGTGACGTCACCCGTTAATGGTTATTGTGGAGGGGTGCAGCATGTGGAGTGAATCCACTCACTCATGAATATTCATGAGGGGGAGTAGGCCTCATGTGGGGTGACGTCACGCGGGGGAGTAGGTCTCATGTGGAGTGACGTCACGCGGGGGAGTGGGCCTCATGTGGAGTGACGTCACGCGGGGGAGTGGGCCTCATGTGGAGTGACATCACGCGCAGGACAGACATTCATGGCTCATTATATTAGTAACGAGCTTTACTACCCGGCTTCGCCCGGGACTTGGATTCACCACGCCCGGCCGCCTTTGTCTCCCCAGTGGCGATGCTCACACACCACACCAGTTACTCGTTTGAGGCTGAGTCGACCTAGGGGAGGCCCAGGACCGGTTCAAATAATCGTCACCGGTGGTGGTCGTGAGCGGGAATGAAACTCGGGTCGCCGGGTTCGTAGCGCAGCGTAGCGCTAACCACTACACTACCGCTCCCCCTACACACACACAGACACACAGACAGCGTGCTAACCACTACACTACCGCTCCCCCACACACACACAGCGTGCTAACCACTACACTACCGCTCCCCCCACACACACACAGACAGCACGCTAACCACTACACTACCGCTCCCCACACACACACAGACACACAGACAGCACGCTAACCACTACACTACCGCTCCCCCTACACACACACACGCTTGCTGCAGACACACACACAGACAGCGTGCTAACCACAACACTACCGCTCCCC